TAAGAAATGGCTCAGGCATTAGCAAAATTACTTAGAAATGACTCAATGGAAAATTCTAATTGTGTGTGCAATAATAAATACATTGAAATAAGTCAAATTAACTGTTGGCATGGATTCACAGGAAATGAACAGAAAAAAAAAAGATTGTTGCTGATTGTAGCGAAGCCAAAAACGGCTAAATGAATATGGCTGACCTTCCTTGTCAGCAGCTACTAGAGCTAATGTAGGCGATGATCACTGCGTGAAGAACGTTTGTGTGATTTTGGCTCATTTCAATTCCTGATTTGGCATTGATTTTTGATATATTAAGTGTTTTTCATGTATATTTTTTTGTAAGAAAATGAGACAATCTTTGTAAAAGTGGGTGTAGTTTTTCTCACGCTGCACCTGGTTTGGCTCAAGGTGGAAAAGAGGGTGAAGAGATTACTGGCAGTTGGAATCTGTATTAGCTACAATAATGACAAATCACTTAAGATCCTCTGGTTCCTTTTTAAAAGCAGGAGACGATGAAATGGGCGGGAGAGAGATGTCTTTGAGAAAACTAAACTTTTCTTAAGTATTGTGTCAATTGCAGATGGTTTTTATTAGTTGGATTTATAGTTCAACAAACAAAATTTCTTGTCCATGTGTAACTATTAGGTTGCAGTTTTTAGTATCTGTTGCCTTGCTGGTAGTGTAATGTGTACTGTGTAGTGTGTGAAAACAATAGCAACCTCAACAGTGTGGATGGTATTGTTTTCACCTTTTGAGTTCACCTTTGTGTGTGTGTGTGTGATCATGGCAAAATGTGGTCCCCGAGATACTGTAGCGGGAATTACTACAGACTCACAGTGATAGCGTCACAACCATGCAAGATGCAGTCATGAAACTTCACAGGTTTGCAGTTGAGACCAAAATAAAGGCTGAGTTTGACGATGGGTGTGGTCCAACCCATGAGTGCTGATGTAAGAATGTGCATTAACAGGCGCTTGATGGATCTCCAGTGTCAAAGTGAGACTTTGAACTCCCAACCAACTACCCCAACCACATCCCTAAGAGTTCACTTGTTTTTGGTAGTGACATGTACCGGTAGAGAAACCACAGGTTTGAACAATTAAAAAAAAGAGTTTTCAAATGATCTTTTTCCAACATTTTGTCCTTTACTGTCAGAAACAGAAGAAAGACGTAAATGGTTCTAACTTTTGCATTGGCTATGTTCAGTTAATTTGCCCTGGAAGTGGAAAATGAACATCAGTGACACAGCAAGATCAGCAAGATGATTGTAGCGACGTGGTTGTCATCTGTCATGTCAAAATGAATGCCAGGTCAGCTTTTTGTTGTGGCTTCCTCTCCTTTGTAATACCTGAGTGGACAAACACTTGGAGAGTAACACCGGAGAACACACTGCCTACATTGCGTGTGCGTAGCTGCTGTAGAGAAGCACGTGTGTGTTCACACCGGCTGCGTCTATCTCTCTACATACACTTTGCAGGCTACTCGAATGTTGTAATTCATGATTTATTTTTAACAGAAAACGTCACTAAAGTATCACTGTTTCCATATGCCGCTGCTAAAATGGTTAAAAAATGTTTTATATTTTTTCATGTCTGTATCATATTCAGACTTAGTCGATAGTGAAAGGTGTCAGTTTTATGTAACGTTGGTGGTATGAAGTCAACAGGTCTTTTCTCTGTCTACTTTTGCTGGGAGACACATCACACGTTAAAAATAGGAGAGACGCTCAATCTGTAGGTCACAGGACGCGGCAGTGAGGTGTGAGACGCATGCATCATGCAGGCAGTGCCCTCTCTAACCTGTTAAAATTGGCGCCAAAATGAAAACCAAGACATCCTGCAGCTGACACGCTTCAGTGTCAGTTTCCCAAATTCTCATGATCTGGGCCTTTACAGGGTCATCATGTCGTTGAATTAGAGTATGGGATATTGATGTATTCTTTTTTTAAAAGCATGGTGACACCACTGGCAGGAAACTGTTCAATACACTAAAACATGAAAAGTAACAGCACATTGACATTTTTCTAGTTACTCTAAATTTGTTTTTTGTTACAAGTGCAGCTTGTTATGACTTAAGTTGATTTCAACTGACTTTGGATGGGCTGTGGGAGAGCTAAATCTTAGCTTACATTAATTCCCGTTCACAACAGCTGCACCAGCAGTTATTGAGTTATTTTCCTCCTGATAAATCCACATTAACTCAGTTAAAAGGGAACTACAGCGTATCAACATCAGATGAACACTTGCTTGGAGTATTAGATTTTGTGCTGTGTAAACTGCACTGAATTTATTTGCATGTGATGGTTTTTCCACATGTACGGAGACTCAATAGCTGCTGATTATATTTTTGCACTTTATACTAAACAATACTGAAACAATGATAGCAGCAAAAATAAACCACTGTTTTCCGGGTGACTGAAGACTGTAGTGCTGACTGTAACTTCAGTCAGCGCTGCAAGATTGGGGCTTAACCCCACAGTGTTTCCAGGCACAACATACACAGATGTGACGTCAGCAGGACACTGAATCTTACAACATCAGCACTTTCACTGTGGTCTATATATAATCTAGAATTGGTTATTTTCCACTGTTTGAACCTTTTCAGTGAAGTATATTAAAGTGCATTGGGTGAGAAAGAAATACACAGAAGAAAGAAAATGACTCTTATATTCCAAAGAAGAATAAACTGATGAAATAACTGAAACGAGTTACTCACTCGTAATGCGACGTCAGATTCAAATGTGAAGTTTGATTGCATCACACACACTCAATTTCATAATACAACACACAACATATGAATCATAAATACAAAGTTCATTCCTAAAGGTATTTTAAGGCGTTCAAAGGCTTTTAGGGTTTTTCTATGCACATAATCCACATTCCTTTTGCTTTATTAGTTAAGAAGTAGAAACTCTTTCCACAATATTAATGTGCAGCTAAAGGCTATTGTCCTAAAAAAAAAACAACTTTCCAATATGATGCAGCTAAGTGATTTCACTTCTCTGCACGGGCGAGATTATGTGATGCAACCTACAAAGCCAAGTGGACAGGCTGTATCTATGACTATTGTGAATATTTAGTTTAAATCACTCAGTTGGAGACAGAAGGTTCCCCGTCCGACCCTATTTCAGGACACGCGCCTACGGATCCCATCAGAAGGTTTTTTTTTCGTCATTAGACGCCCATTTTCTTTTATCTCGCCAACACATCTTATCCATGTCTCCAGGATGGAAGAGCAGTCACAGACACGATCGGGCAAAGTTACCACCACCTCTGCATCTCACAAACTCTTTTTTACTTCCTGTATTTTTTCAAAGTTTAGAATTTTTTACTTATTTCTTTATTTTACATGCAAAAGAAAAATGGATTTTACAACCATGGAGGGGGAGAATATGAACACTCTTTCATTGCTCAATTTCCTGATAGTGCCAAAATTTTTTACAGGGAAAAGTTTTATTTTTAAAGGTGTAAAGGTAGATGTCCATGTGTAGTGTGATTATAGATCAGGTCGAGGTTCTATATTAATACTGTGAAAGTATCAAAGCCTCAGTCCACAGAGAAATGCACACAGCCTGTATTCAGAAACTGAGCCTTAAAACCAGCCGTCAGGACTTCTGGAACTTTGTGATGTCACAACAAAGCAGTCACCGCTCTCACCATGCCCCAAGCCCCACCCACCACGACCCACCATCCAAACCTTTCAGGATTTGGTTTCTGTGAGTGTTTTACCTGAAATCTGTTATATTTTTATAGGATCACTCAGAAAACAGTCAGCCAATCAGAAGAGAGCCTCAGAGAAGTGTAAAGTACAGGACCTTTAAAGAACAGGACTGAATGGACTCCCCCATGATGGTCAGTAGTGGACAAAGACAGCATTAACAATTACAGCACATAACATTTAACATGTAAACCAGAAGGCCTCATATTATCTTTCCTCATCATCTCTCCATCATCCACCTGCACAGTTAAAAAAAAAAGAAGCGAAACAGTCTTTAAGTATTTAAATGTAAGAAAATAAGGAAATGCATGAGTAAGTGATTGTAGTGGAGCGGCAGTTTCCACATCTCGCTCACAGCATTGTGTAAACACTCTACTCCTATTAGCTTTTAACCATTTCTGCTCGCTGCAAATGTGGTGAATGCTCCTTCAGTTTCGTTCATTAGATTACCAGAAACAGACAAGGTGGGAGTCAAAGATGCATCTGCCTGAATCTTCGGTTCATATGAGTTTCAGCAGGAGAGACTCGTGACTCCCTGGAGCTCGTGAGAAGAGTGATTAAATTTCCAATGTCAAATTTTCCTACGAGGTGGTGAATCATCATTGCAGCCTTTGGGAAGGATCTTCATTTACACATTTGACAAAAAAAGTTTCTCTAAAATCTGGACACATTCATGAAGACTGGAAATCAAACTAAAGTCGTTGTTCAATCAAAAACACTTAATATTCCCTATATAAAGACTTTAATGGTACTTTAAATCTTGCAAGGAAAATTCAGCAGGGTGATGCCCTGGAATTTAAATTAAATTTAAACGATGCAGAATTTCCACATGAACAAGTCGTTTGAGTCTCGTTATGTTTTTTTCCACAAGTCGTCTCTCAATAGGTTTAATTAATTTCTCGTTTCTGACACTCATCAACCTGTTTTAAGGACATTCTTGAATCAACTGACTGAAACATCTGAATAGGGCAAAAGATGAAAACACTTACCTCACTCCACATTCTGAATGAAAGAACTTGTGTGGATGGAAACATTTTGGAAGATTGTTGAGAGCTGTTTTGCTTTGATGCAGTGTAACTTTCTAGCATTTTTTTCATTTTTGCTTAGATTAAACCAGTTTAATAAAACCACTCAGCTTTCCTGCAGAACCACAATCGTTTAAAAATTGCCATCTGTCTTTTACCGGCACAACACCATCGTCATTTCCTGTGCTGGCGCACACTTTCCATGACAGCTGAGAGAAAAGCACGACTATAAAGGCGAGTTTCACTGTTTTTGCTGTATTTGAAAGAAATTTATTTTCCGTGTGAACGTGTGTGCTCACCAGAGTTTTTGTGAATTTCTGAGTAACAGTGTGAGATACTGTAGGATGTTCCTGACACACTGTGTGATGGGATGGACTGTGTTGACAGTCCTCAGCTTCTGCCTGCCTGTGTGGAGTGGTGAGTGTAAACAGACTTTTACTCATGTGATGATGGTGATTTTTGTATACACTTTTTGCACAGTCCAGGGTTAATACTAAACAGTCAGGAAACCAAGAACAGATGTTTGGAGAACTGTCATTTGACAGGTTTGCAGGACCTTCTGTGGAAACTCAAATACTGACTTTAGAGGTGACAAAGTTTCTAATCCTCAACTGAACAACAGATTTAAGATTAACTGTGTAAACATGACCTGATCACTAAATCAGGTCTTGTTTACACAGTTAAAGTGTTACTGATTAAAACTCTTTTCATAACATTGTTAGTTTGAGCTGAAAACCAGACCTCCTACTGAAAAGTAAGAGATTACTTATGGGCTAATTTCCAGCTAGAGTTCACACATATTATTTTTCATATTTTTATAAAAATACATTTCTTCTGTTTAAAGAGTGAAATGCATGTGATCTTGGAGTGAACCAGTTTTATGAGAGCAGAAGACGCAGGGACATGCTGTCCATTAGGACCAGCCTTCTTTAATTTGGCACTGAATAAATGACCATTCAGATTTCTTCATATAGTAAATGTTGATATGAGTAGATATTACTAAAAATACATTGTCTAAGGAATAATATGACATTTTGGGAAATTTGCTTATTTCTTAGCTGGAAGTTAAATAAGAAGATTGATACTGGTCTCTACTGGTTTAGGTGGAGCCAGTGGCAATAGCTTAGCTTAGCATAACGACTGGAAACAGGGGGAAACAGTTAGCATGGCTCTGTGTAAAGCTTTTTCGAAGTTTGCCTACAAGCACGATAGATCTTGTTTGTTTGCACCAACCATTTTGGAAGTTAAAAAGTGTTGTGCCTGTCTACTTTGGACAGAGCCAGACTAGCTGTTTCTCAGCATTTTCAGTCTTTATGCTAAGCTAAGCTAACTGACTGCTGGCTGTATTATATTCACTGCACAGGAGCAAGAGTGGTATCGATTTAGCTATTAGCACATTTTTCAAAAATATTTCTTTAAGCTCCTTCCATATAAAGCGTTCACAGGTGGAAAAAAAAATGGTGGAAAAAGCTCATGACACTTTCCTACCTCGTCAAACTGCTGTTCACCACAACATGACAGCAGTGCAGTTGAATCAATTCAAGATCTTGTAGTCGAATGAAAACCTGAAAGCTCTTCAAACACTGCAATTCAGTGGCTATGTCTGTGAAGACCAAAGTTAATGCTGTAATAACGATTATTTTTAATTCAGTGGTGGCATGTACATTATGGTTAAAACTGCTGCTGTTTGCTGTCTGAGTTGGATGGTCGGGTTGATGTCTAAAACACGCTGGAAGATGGAACGTGTTCGCTGAGCTGGCTAGCCACCATTTAGCCTACATTAAGCAATCACTTGGTTTTATTTAGCATGTGTGAACTCCACAGCTTCACTGTCGGGACATAACTTCTGCAGAGCTGCAGTCAAACCGCAATGTTTTGCTTTTTAATGTCTCCATGTGGGTGGGAAGGCTTTAAGGTTTTTTTCGGTGAGCATCTCTAACAGAGGTATGCTAATTGGTGAAATGAATCACCTCTACTGTTGAGTAATCAGTAAAGTTAAGTAATTATATTTTCAATTAATATGATGTAATGACATTTGAACTCTCAGTGAACATTTTCCATTGTCGACGTCTCTGTGTGAACTCACAAAGTGTAAGGTTATGGAAAGTTTGTCAGCCTGGTCTCACCAAATTGTGAACAAGTGAGTGTTTTAGGTCATTTGCATTTTCTTTTTTTGCTTTTCATCTCATTTCATGCCACATCATATCTCTACTGACTAAAACAGCCTTTGATAACACATGAAAAGATTAAATTATGTAGACATGAAACAAGAAGTGTCCTGAAATAAGGCGTGCTGTATGTATATACACCATCCCATGAGCTCACACATTTACTACCAAGCCTGACACCAAAAAAAAAATACTAAATGCTAAATTATTACCAATTCTCAGCTACAACAAACTCCTCCTTACACTTAACATGATCTTTAGTATCATTTTTTCTGTTAATTAAATAACTTTCCAAAGTAAAGGAGAAACATTCTCCATCCACCCATATTTTCTTCTTCTTGTGTTGTTTTGAAGTTGATCCATAAGAAGATATATTTGTGGTTTTAAGAGCCAAAAACCATCTCAGTGTAGTTTCACTTCTCCTCTCTCAGGCTTCTCTCTGGAGCTCTAGTATCAACAGGTCTGTGAGCCAATCAGAAGAGAGGAGGCTCTGAGCCTCTCTTCTGATTGGCTGACTGTTTTCTGAGTGATCCAATAAAAATATAGCAGATTTCAGATTAACATTGAGAGAAACCAAATCCTGCAAGGTTGGATGGTGGGTTCAGGTGGGCGGGGCTTGGTGACTGCTTTGTTGTGACATCACAAAGTTCCAGAAGTCCTGACGGCTGGTTTTAAGGCTCAGTTTCTGAATACAGGCTGTGTGCATTTCTCTGTGGACTGAGGCTTTGATACTTTCACAGTATTAATATAGAAGCTAGACCTGATCTATAATCAAACACATGGACAGAGACCTTTAGACTGTATGGGAGCTTTAAAAATAAAATTCTTCCCCTGTAGGCACTATCAGAAAATTGAGCAATGAAAGAGTGTTCATATTCTCCCCCTCCATGGTTGTAAAATCCATCTTTCTTTTGCATGTAAAAAAAAAAAAAAAAAATCTATACATGAATTCTATACATGGCCTTCTCCTGACTGATGTTCATGGATCACCTGCTTCATCTGCTGAGCTTCACTGGTCCATTTCTGAACTATCTCCACCTAACCTTCCTTTTTTGTCTGTCAGCTGTGAAGGTGATCCAGCCCTACAGAGTGGTGAGCATCAATGGTATGGCACAGGTTGGGTGCTTCATCGAACCCCAACCTTCCTTCCACCTGAATCAACCATCCAATGATCAAAGGCAATACCCTTACCCCAACCCAGAGGAGGTCCGTGTGTCTCTGCTGAAAGGCCTCCACGGCACCCAGAAGCTCTGCTCGTCAGTCCCCAACTTCCAAGATCACGGAGAGACGGGTGTGGAGAAAGAGGAAGAGGTAGGGCTGAACCATTAATTGAACTATTATCAAAATCGCAATATGGCCAAGTGCAATATCCACATAAACGTCATACTTGCTTTTGTTTGGTACAAAAATCACATCATAATCATTCACATCGTCATATTTTTTCAGTGAAAATGAAATACAAAACTAACCATTCCAATTGAAATCGTGACTTATATCAAAATCACAATGTCTTTGCCAAAATAACTGCAATATGATATTTTTCTTGCATATCGTTCAGCCAGTCTGTGGACATTGGATGGGTATTATTTTATCCCAATTCAATTTAATTTCCATATTTTCTCTATCTGCTTCTTACTACAAAAGATGGGAATCATACATTTAAACACAATTTTTGTCCAAGTTAGTATTTTCCATCGTATTCAAGTCTATTATGAACAAAATGTAATCTAACAGAGGAAAAAAATATGCATCCATGCAAATGATGTGGCATAAAAAATAAAAAAGTACATGTTTAATATAAAGTCTTTCATAAATGTGGTATAATATATACAAATGTATATAAAAAAACATACCAGTGTTCCTTTCCCCCCTCAAAGAGAATCGGTGACAATCCTGTTGATATTGTTGTTTTTTTTTCAGTGATTTTGAAGAATTATAAATTTTGTCATTGTTTGAAATCATGTCTCAATAATTCTGGAGTTTCCTACTTGCTTTTGAGAACAGCAGTCAAATGAGCGGAAACATGATGACTGCTGGAATCATGAGGAATAAAAACTATGGAAATTGTCCTGAGAAAGTGAAGAAACTCTGGTTTGATGTGTCCTGTTAGGTGCAGTGCTCTGTTACGCTGAGTGAGGGCGCTGTGGAGGTGACAGTGTCTGGACTGAAAGCCACAGACACAGATGTGTATCGCTGTGGGATAGAGGTCTTGTACCCACCACCGTACCTGCGGCTCACAGGCAACGGCACACTCATTCATGTGTTAGGTGAGATGCTCGCACAGGATAATCACACACTCACACTGCAGGATTACCCACAATGCACATGTTTCTGCCTCTTTTTGAGTCTTACTTTCCCTCTGACTACAGATAACCCTGACTGTCCTCTGGAGGGGCCTGAGACAGCGATTGCACACCAGGGTGGTGAAGAGGAGGACGATGAGGGTGATGAGAGGATAGCACCAGTCAGTATTCCTGTGGTTGTACTGGTGTTACTGGTCATTGTTGTCCTCATCATCATTATCTACTTCCAGGTCAGCATTACTATTTTATCTTTATTCATGTTATGATTGATTTGGTGTTATTAAATTAAAGTGTATTTACTGTATTATATTTCTGCATTTTACTGTTATTATCTTACTCATGTAGTACTAGCAGTAGTAACAGTTTCCCCTGATGGATGCGACTTATCAAGATTTAAAACAGTCCTGAACCACACCATCTGTCCCCTCCCACCAGCCTACAAACACACAAGAACAGTCACCTAGCCTGCGGTTAAGACTAAGCCACTAGTATACTGCAAAAAACTTCCCCACCTTTAACCGTAATACCATACTGTACTTGTGTTCTCACAGCATTAAAATAACCACATTTGAATACAAAAGAGCACAGTGCAGGCCTCTTTCTCTTTTAAGTAAATAAATATTGTCATTGTTTTGTAAAAAGTAGCCATTTATTGCTCCAGAAAATATGATTGTATCAGTTTTTGTCTATTGAACTGTGTGAAAGTGTGCGGGTGCTGGAAATAAATATTAGTTAACCTACATCGATGAACACATTGTGGTATTGTAACAGTGGTAGTAGTAATCGCAACAGTATAAAACAGTTGCAGTAGCAATGTAGTTGTAGTTATATTATAGTACGATTATTTGAATGCAGAGCAAATACCAAAATGAACCTATGTTTAGTCAGATTACTACACAGTAAACCTGGGGCTACATAAGTTTTCCCCCAAAACCCCATATTAATCTGACCAATAGCAGTAGTAATAGCACAAGTGGCAGTTTTTAAAAGCTTATTCTCCTCTGTTGTTGACAGAATCTAAATCTGTGTGTTTTTCATTTGCAGTCTGTCCAGTGTCAACAAGGGAGGAGGGAGATCGTCAGATCTGTGCATGGTGGGCCTTACAAGGTGGATGCTGTTGCATTTTCATGTGACGACATGGCATGAAAAACACAGAGTCCACTTAGCACTGAATGGCATTAGAATACCATGTATTTTGAATGCAGAGTGAGCGGTAGGGTCAGTATTGGCCATTTATGAAATATCAATCTGTTATGATTGAGGTTCTTCTTTTTAACCAAAGCTACAGAAGAACACCGAAATGACATTTGGGTGTCAGTGCATATTTTATGTTTACGTTGTTGTAAACTCAAATTATATTAAAAAAAGCTGTAGCTTTGATTATGTTTCCACTGAGTTGAGTTGCTGAGGCGCCTATAGGTGGTGCAGCTGGAAAGGCTTGATGTTTGATTAAAAACAGAATTATGTTTATGTTGGCTAAATGCTCCAGTTAAGAAAATGCAATGCTTTGCATCTGTTGAATATGTTTGAATTACTGTATATTTTGTTGCCATTGCAATGTACAGCAAATATTCATGATGGATATTTCATTTAAGTAAAGTTTCTTAACTTTAATTCTACTTTTGTATAATTTTTTTTTTTTTTTTAAATTGCGGATAAATCGACAACATCAGGGATGGACCATTAAGATCCAAAACCTCAATCCAGAATCAGTTGTGTTTTGTTGTGTCTTCTTTTCATATTTCAAAGTCACAATATGAAGATATACAGAGTGGTTTAAATGTGATTGTGGCAGCAAAAAAAAAAAAAAAAAAGATTTAAGGGTTTAATTGTAGATCTGAAGTTGTGGAACAAGTGTAAGAACCACTTGATGGACCGAGTTGGCATTATTAGTTATAGGCAAGTAGTGATGAAGTATGAAGGTTAAACAAAAGTTTTCTAACACTTATGATACATAATAATAATAATAATAACATAATTCAAAATTATTAACATTTTCTAATAAACAGGCCTGTCTTATTGATTCTGATTGATAAACATGCAATTTGTTGATTTTTCAAATTGTTAATCAAACACACCAGATATGAGCCTTGAAATAAAAATTGCTCTAGCTCCACCATCAGGCCAGAATTCGCAACTGTACACAAATATAACAGACTTTGCTGAGGAGCCATAACATTTACAGAGCACATTCAAATTCCCCAGAGGATGAACCATGTTGATAACAGGATCTTTTCTCAGGCGCCACATTCAGAAAAAACTCCACTAACCCACTTTGTTTTGCCACACAACTAGTTTATAGCAAAATTATCAATACCGTACAATTTAGTGGAAGAAATGTCACAAAATGTTACCCACAGCTCATCAGGGCGAAAGCCCAGAAACATAATCCACAGAGACACGCACAAACATATACAGCAAATACTTATCATCCAAAGAAAATGAAGAGGTTTTCAGATTTCAAAGTATGTGAAACCACCCTCACCAGATCGGGTCAGACACATACAGCAGATTTATTTTGTATGGTACTGGAAGCCAATGAAGTGATTTAAACTGTGGAGTAACATGTTTGGTTTTGCGTGTGAGGACTTTTTTTTTTTTTTAATTTCCTATTGTTTGTCTGGTTAATGAAGCAAAGAGCAGCAGCTGCAGCCAGTTTGAGATAAACATGTGAACCACTTCCTCAGTATCAGCTAGAGATAAATTGAGAATAATAATTTAATTTGTGGTATGTTTTTCAACTGATAAAATTTGTCCTAGTTATGTTGCTGACAAGACTTTCAGGTCTGTGACTCACTGGCTGTACTCTAGCCATGCTTACTCTCAGTGTGCATACGTTTCCTGTCTCTGGGTTTTTACCTCAAGTATGTCAGTCTCTCTAACTGTCATGGGAAAGGTGATATATGAGAAAAATGGCACACATGTTCAGACAGTCTCTGCTGAAGGACATTCATAGTATCAGTTGTTTACATGAAAAGTGACAGAAAGAGCAATAAAGAGGGTTTTTAATTATTCCATGCCTCTGAATAACTCTTTCTCCTTCTGTCTGATGGTGCTTTACAAATAAATTTGCCTTGCCTTGCCTTCAAACCCCGTCTCCTTTCATGCTTCCACACAGCTGACCGATGATAACGTGAAGGGTGTGAATGTTGGATCAACGGCCCAACAAGCACTTCTGAAGAAGGACCCTATTGAAAATCCCCCTTTTTTTATCTCAATGAGGTTACAGCCATGCCAGCAGCTCTGTGAGGCTCTTCATACGCAGAGCAGTGCTCTGTGCTAAATGCTAACATCAGCATGCAGACAATGTTAATATGCTGATGTTCAGCACGTATACTTTTTTTTTTACCATGTTTATCATAAATGGCTCTATATACAGTGCATAGTGCTTTTATTTAAATCGCTGCCCCTTGTTCACACTCACACACAGTGAGCTACAACGCAAAGTGCTGGTCTGAACATTGGGAGCTGGACGACCCTCTCTACCTCCTGAACAAAACTAAAGCCCCTTTTCCACTGGTCAGAAAACCTGCTAAGACCCGCTAACATCAGCTTTTTGTTGGCAATAGAAAAGGGAACAATTGACATTCTGTAGAAGCACCTGCCCAGCAGGGTGCTGTTAAACCGAAACACAGCAGCTACACTGAGCTAGAGGATGAAAGAGTGACCTGCAGCCTCAAAATAAGTTTTAAAAACACACAATTACCAATCGAAGTGTCTCACGAGGAGGCTCCAACACTTTTAGAGGAGCACCAACCCAAGATGACACGTGACACATCTGTTTTACCAGTTTGCATGGCAGCTAGCAGCTCACTCTTCCTCCACTGTGTCTGTGTGTGCTCTGTAAGTGCATGTGATGACATCGCTCCTTGCAGTTGTGTGTGTCCTGAGTCCGAACAGAAAGGCAAACTCGACTGACAGTGGAAAAGGGGTCAATCAGCTTTTATTAGCGACTTTACTTGCTTTTTACCCTTATGCTTATACCAGCTAATTTTGGTGTAAAAAGGGTGTAACATAAAGTACAGCTGAGGCTGATGGGAACACTAGTTTTGCATGTATTTACTCTAGTATTGGACAAAGTAAAATTTTGACATGATTATGGCACTTGATGAAAAATCACAATCACCAAAGTTCCTACAGTTTATCCTGTGGGGAACATAAATATTTGTACCAAATTTTGTGGTAATTCATCTCATAGTTGTTGAAACATTTCACTCAAAATCACAAGTTTAAAGTCCACCAAAGTCTTTCAGTCTAGACCGAAGTGTAGGACTGACCAATTGACCAACTGACCAACATTTCCATCCATGAAGCCACGAAAGTAGCATGGCTAAAAAAAGTACTCATTAGTGGTTACTTCCCCCAGCACTGCTCAACATTGGTGTGGGTAAGAATAAAAAACCTTTAAGAAACCAAGACGATTCTGCTGTAACACAGTCACTGATTCAGTTTTACTAGAGTTTCCTGGCCATAGAAACTTATGTACATCAACTGCACTCATCATCATACAGATGCAACAACTACACGAGAAAACACAGTGAGTGTTTTCAAAAGGAGGACACTGACATAACTGCTCCCATCCCTCAAAGAGGGGGCTCAGATATTGACCAATCAGCAGACAGAGATAATGCTGGTATTGGTGAGTGTGTGTGTGGTGCACAACAAAGATTGCAAAGAAGCGCAAACCCTGAAAAACAGGATGTGGACACACTGCTGACTCTAGTCAACCTTTATTCAATCAAAGGGTTCATTCTTTTTTCAAAGAAACTGAAAATATACAGCAGTGACAGTTTTTTTCCTAAATCCTCATTAAAATTCACTTGTCGTTTCTTGTTGTTCACTTGACTATTTCTACTTAAACTTTATACACACAAGTTCAGAGACAAAAATTGTACTTTCTACTTCTTTACAATTTACAAACAGCATATACACTCACACATACGCTCACTGAGAACTCTATTAGGAACACCTGTACACCTGCTTATTCAAGCAATTATCCAATCAGCCAATCATGTGGCAAGCAGTGAAATGCATAAAATTTGGGCTGCACAATTAATCGAAATATAATCGCAGAAGTTGATGAAGGTAATATGTGTCACAACATTGTTGTGCATTGTTAGCACCATAAGCATTGTGTTGCCACAGAGATGCCACAGGCTACAAATCATATTCTCCAAACACAAGTCAACATGATTGCTTGGTACATGGCCTAATAGAAATCACATTATCATCATTTTTAAAAATCTTCATTGAAAAACTGAAATCGTGACTCATATCGCAATATCTGCCAAAATAATAACAGGATGTTTTTTTACATATCGTTCAGCCCTACATTAAATCATGCAGATACAGATCAATGTTCAATGTTCACATCAAACATCAGAATGTGACTTTGACTGTGGCAGGATTGTTGGAGGCTAATTTGAGTGTTTCTGAAACTGCTAATCTCCTCTAGAGTCTTTTGAGTTTTTACTCAGATCTCCTCTCTTAGAAAAACTAAAAACATCCAGTGAGCAGCAGCTGTGTTGGCGACAGAGATCAGAGGGGAGTGGACAGACGGGTTGGAGCTTAGAGAAAGTCAATGGTCACTCAGATAACCACTCTTTACAATTGTGGTGAGCAGAAAAGCATCAGAATGAACAACCTTGAGGTTGATGGACTACAACAGCAGAAGACCACGTCAGGTTTCTGTCCCATCACCAAGACTGGAAACTTGAAGTTGGACAGTTGAAGACTGTAAAAACATAACCTGGGCTGCTGAACATCTCTGCAGAGGGAGCAGATGGTAGGGTCAGAGTCTGAATCCATGGACCCTACCTGCCCTGTGTCAACAGTGCAGGCTACTGGTGGTGGTGTAATGATGTGGGGAATGTTTTCTTAATACCAATCAATCAGGGTTTGAATGTCGCAGCCCTATCTGAGTATTGATGCTTTTGAATGCAAGAGTTTTACTTATACTAGAGTAATTTCATACTGCAGTATTGTTACTTTTAATAAAGTAAAGCATGTGAATACTTCTACCGCTGCTCTGTACCAACCTCGGTATTTCCAGTAGGTTGGAGGCAGAAGTCTCATTGGTGAAGACTAAAACATTTTAACTACATCCACTGTGTAAAGTTGTAATCTTGTAGAACAAAACACAAACAAATCCAAGGGGGAGAAGACTTTTTAAACACACAAACTGTACAACAAGACACACTCAAGAATTATAACAAATAAAGTATGTGCTACGCAGACCACCACTTGATAATTATAAACCTTGTCTCCTAGAAATAACATTTATACACAACTAATTGTTTTCTTAATTATTTTTTGTAGGGAAATGTAATCACTGGCTTGATTATGCTCAATGGCAACATTTTTCTCTTGGGTAGGAAGTGCACAAACTGCATTGATGCACATGAATCATAGGGAGGAGCTCTTACAGAGAGAAGCTGGTCTTACAAAGTGCAGGACTTTGGTTAAGGTTAGGCAAAGATAAGTATCCACATTTTGTGACTAATTTACCAAACTAACATTTCCTCATTATGTTAATTGAAAAAAGAATCTGGGTGGCATCGATTAGGGGCAGGGTTAGTTGCTTTTGCTGATTAGTGTATTAATATGATTTCTAGGAAACATGGTTATTGGTTTAGAGGCATGATGTCAAATTATATGACACTTGATACTTGACTAGAACTGCAATTTTCGATGATTTTCATGATAGTGTAATCTAGCGATTATTTTTTTGATTAATCGATTACTTGTTTAGTCTATAAAACATTGGAAAACAATTAAAAAAAGGGAGTCTTTCCTCCACCGTCACCAAGTGCTTGGTCTTTATGGGAACTGTTCGGTTTCTCTCTATACTATTCTAAGGTCTTGACCTAACCCTGTAAAGTGCCTTAAGATAATGTTTATTATGATTTGAAAAAAAATGCCTTTCAAATTTTCCTACAGCACAAGGTGGTGTCTGCACTACAGTCCAAAACCCAAAAATAATCAATTAACTATAATTTAAGACAAGGGAGAACAGCAAATTCTCACCTTTAAGAACTTGGACCCGTAAAATGTTTGGCATTTTCACTTCAAAAATTACCTACATGATTATTTGATAATCAATCATTTACTATTTTTGGGGGGGGGGGGTTTGGTTTAAAGATGCTCTTAAATGTACTATAGTGGCATCATTTTAAGGCAGGATATTTAAAGTCAGTGTAGCTTTCAGTGTTGATGACCCCTTGGGATATCCATAGAGTATATAAATGAGCATCTAATTATAGGTGTTTTATGAACAACACCTTAAAAAAGGCCTGCATACAACTGCATATGAACTTAAAAATGTTAAACACCAATTTTGTGTCTCTAACTTGTAGATTGTGTTCCTTCCACAGAAGGAAATTCTCACACCACAGACGTATGACATCACTCACACCATAACTTGTGTATGTAGCATGTAGCAGGGTTGGGCTGTGGTGTGAAACATTTGTTAGCTTTCAAAAGAATGAAGAAAATTAGTACTTGCATGGCAAGTTTTATGCACAGGAAATACTGTCTCCTATAGACACTAGAGAAACAAAAGCAGCTTGATTGGCAGTAGATAAGGGGAGCAGGTACTGTGGAAACACACTCATCATTGAGCCCAACCTCAGAATTTCCTTTATCGTCAGCTAAGTATCAGAATGAGCTGTTTGTGATTGTGATGTTAGCGTCAGTCGGTGTCAGTTGCTGTACTGAAATTAGATCCTGTCCAGGTTTTTTCTTACCACGGTGTGAGAAGGAGCAGAAAGGCTGAGATGACAGCTTACAGCTTCAATATCTTCATCATCCTCACAGTTTATTCGAGCTTCAGCTTCCACCCAAGTCAAGGTAGACCTCTCCATTTTATCACCTACTGTCTAAAGGAATTTACTAGCTTTTATTTTTTTAAATATATATACTGTATTATAATAATAACAATATAACCAATAATAATGATCAAATGAAATATTGGTTTTCATTTGTATTTTATCCAAGTGCAGATGTTTCCATATTTTTTTATTGTGAGAAAATTTGTAGATATTTTATTACTGATACAGTCTGTGTATTAACTTACAGAATGGAGAATAACTTTCAACAATAGTAAAAGAAAAGGGCTCTATTAAGTATTTTCAGGGAGTTGCTGAATCTTTTTCATTCATCAGGTTTTAAGGTGATTCAGCCGCAGTATCAGACTATAAACCCGGATGGATCAGCCTCTATCAGCTGTGAGCACAAAGCAAACGTCAGTTCTGTTAAAGATGTTCGACTCAACCGCGTCTCATTGTATGTATTCTGGTATTTGTGTTATTTTTCAAACTTCTTTGTGTCTCTACGCTATCAGTGTCTGTGACTCTCTTTTTTTGCACTTCCTGTCCTAAGCAGAGTGTTACTAGAACTAACTAGAATAACAGTGCTAGGCCAAGGCCAAACATCTGCACCACATTGTACAAACACATATGTATCAACACCATTAATAAGTGTGATTTTTTAGATCAAGATCCAAATATTATTTCCTGAGAAATTTTGAAAATGTCGAAAAATGCCACCTAGTACCTTGCAATGTTAAGGATTCCTGCTTACAAACAAACAAACAAACAAACAAACAAACAAACAAACAAACAAACAAACAAACAAACATATGAGCACCCGAACAACTACTGGCTGAATTGAAATTAAGTTTTGCAAAGATCTCTTTTTGTCCCCACGGCATGAAGCCCATGGACCTTTACTGCCACAAACAGTCCTGACGACAGGCCAAGTAGTTAGCTGTTTATACCTGTAGTATGTGTGAGGTGCACTGCCCCCCTTTTAACCCATTAACACACTTCACACAACTCTGTCCAAAGGCAAGAAAATCTGCGTATCAGCACCTCCAAAGCTCACCGATTAACACGTTATGCATTGTTTGTTTAGTCTGCACAAAAGTGTAAAAATGGTAGACTGCTGTTTAATGGGAGGTTATACGTGGGACTGTTTCTTGGCCCTGAGTGTTATCAGTCTTTTCATCTGACTCTTGACAATAAAGCAATTTTCCAAAATGCTGAATTATTCCTTTAATTCATTAACTAACCTGACTGGGGACTAAAGACTTGGTCTAGCTGGTAGATGCACTCTGTCTCACGTATCTTTGTCTACTCTCAGACGAGGCGGATCTGAACGGTCGATGCTCTGCCAGAAGGGAAAGACAGGCTGTAAGAACACTGTCATGTATCAAGAGAATCCCAACAAGTTCATTTTCATCTTGCTCAACATCGGTCCAGAGGCCACGAAAGTGGCATACGAGTGTGAGTTCACGGTGAAAACTGGTCCACTAGACAACACCAAGAGAGGAACACCAACCCAACTATGGGCAGGTATGTCTAAGCCTCTCTAAGATCCAAAGCCTGACGTATGTTATTTCTCTGTGCCATAGAGGTTGTTTGCTGTCCAAAAACTATTGGCAACCAAACCAACGCAATACAACATTTTACACATCTTTCAAAGTTACATGACAAGGTTATATTTGATGTGAACTTACTGACATAGTTACTGACCTTTTGCTAACTGAACAACCAAATGTAGAAATGGTGCAAACACACATTTTGAGTTGTTGTGGTGACTTGCCAGTGGTAGACCCTCTACCCAGTACCAGTATGGTCATCCCCTGTCACAACTAGCTCGCCAGGATAGAGAGGAGATTAACAAGGGTGGTGGCAGCAGAGCAACTCAGGATCCGCCTCATTCTAACATGGCAGTACAACATTTTGGCATCACACAGCCTCTGTATCAAAAAGGTCAAAGCTCCAGCAACACTAGCAGTAAAGAGAAGAACTTTATTAGACCGATATGTTTCAGCTTGTGGCCTTCATCAGGGTCAAGCTGAAACACATCGGTCTAATAAAGTTCCTGCGTTTACTTCAAGTGTTGATGGAGTTTTGACCTCTTTGGATTTTTTCCTTTCTCCATGCACCTCAGAAGTAGGTGTGAAGGGAGTGGAAGGGAGCTGTTTCTCTTTTTTTTGAGATGCACTTACAATCAAGAACAATCAAGAGTCCAATCATAGCTTGGGATGCAGCATTTATTTACAGACACAGAGTTTGATTCATTTGGTGTAAGCTGCCAGAAAATTAACATTCACATGAAACAATTCTGTTTGTGCTGTTTTCTTTGAGCTCCTCTCACTGGTTTGAGGTGGCTCTGTATTTTTGTGCACTAATCAGGGTTTAGCTACATCTGAATCAAATTTCAAATTTATTAATTTACAGTTTATTTCCTGCAAAATAGTCAAGATTGAAACCATGTTCTTGAGGGCTTTAATAATTTATTTGTATCTTATACTAAATATTCACTCTCTAGTGATAATGTAGGATATCCAACCACATTCTTCTCTCAGTTCACTGCTGAAACTCAACTGGGGACTGTGTGTTGTGTGCTAAATGTAAAGGATGTGACGGCCAAATACATGGGCACTGTGTTGCTGAGTAAACCACCACAAACAGGAAATAAACTTGCTTTTTTTTGTCAGGTCAAAACAAAACAGAGGACTGCGTACCTCCCTCTCCCCCTCCTCCTGCTCCTCCTCCCCCTTCTCCTCTAGTGGGTTATCAACTCATCTGGATTCTGATTGGTCTGCTGGCTCTGATAATACTCTACAGCTCTGTCATCACCTACGTCTACATCAGATTCAGGATGACTGTATGTCTCTCTTACTCATTATATGTGTTGGTATCTGCTTGTCTGGTTGTCTGTGTAAAAATACTACAAAACAACTTGTAACTGAAAAGCACCTAGGGTTGGATCATTCCCTTCTGGTGCAATCAGACTCCATAATTCACCTAAACACCCTTGCACATTTGTCCATATACATATACTTATTTATTTAAAGAAATTCATCTACCTCTCATTTCTATCCATCTAATTTCAAGGCCACATTTGGAAGAAGGGTTAATAATGTGAGATCTAAATTAAACTGAACTAAATTGTGTTATGTCATTTATAAACTCTCACTCTCTCACTTTATTTCTGTAAATTTAGTTTATTCGCCATTTCTTCTACTGTTTTGAACTAAATAAAACTTTAACTGTAGAAGCTACAACAACTAGCTACATTTTAAGGCCTTTGACTGTCTGCATATCAGAGGTACAAAAACAGTTTTGGGTGTTTATAATATTGGACGCTTGTTTTTACTTAATGAACTACATATGAAAGAAAAGAAAACCCTAAGAAATCCGTAAATTTTCTGGTCTTGTGTTTCAGAGCAACAACAAAGAACCTGACAACTGCACCTATGTGGAAATGAGGAAAGCTCCTCTGAAAGCGGATTCACCTCTCGGCATTTACTGCGGGTAGCTGACCCGTGTCTTTTAACCACCGCTGAGGGAAAACATGGACACTCCGACCCTTGGGGTGCTATTTCATGCAACTGGTGTCATCGTATCAAACTCTCACTCTTTTTGTGGATGTGATGAAAACCATTGTAATACTGAAGCTAAACAGCAGGGTGAGACAAAGACTGTCTAAAGCAATGATGATTCTGCTACTGTGCTTGTTCATCTCTGCTTTTAAAGCAGCAACATTATATTATCCATTAAATAGAACATATATACACACACATACATATATATGTATATATTTGAATATGTACAATTTATTATTAATTTTTTCAATAATTTTGTTGCGGAAAATATATTTAGTAATCAAAAGGAATCACCTGGGAAAGAGAGAACAAGAGGATAAATGGGCAGAGAAGAGAAAAATGAATGAATCGGATATAAAGCTCCTAAGAACTGCTCTTCACCATAAATTGTCCTTTTATATTGTCCTTTTTTCCCCAATGATACCTGAAGTCCATGTCCTTTATATTTGCACTCTAAATGTTGATTTAACTTTTGTTTATTTCCATTGTGTAGCCAATGTACTTTATTTTATATACTGTATAATTCACATTGCTATTTCGGTCCAGTCTATAGCAGCACTTTAGGGCTTTACTGGTAATGCTGGGCATATCTCCCACCATGCCCATCATGGCCCCTGATCCAGAAGCCCTCATCACACAGGGGATGGGCCTCCTCCATTAGAATCTGGAGGAGTGGGAAGAAGGGTGAACCCCTGCAATGAGCCAGACTCCTACTATAAGTCTGGGTGTTCTGCCCTTAAACATCCCCGAATAAAACAAAAATAAAAGGAAGAATACGACATGTGGTAATTATGTCAAATAAAGAGCCGCCTCCATTCCTGCTGCCTTTGAACACGGTAGTAAGTGTATTCACCATGACATGTAGTTACTATTTCATTTGTTTTGTCTTGATATTTGAATGTTCTGTTGTACTTATGTCCGTTTTAGGGTAGCTTTTATTTCGCCTCAATATATTTCATCAATAGAAAATATAAAGGACAACCCTACCCAAACTTAAAGTTAAAACATTTTAAATATGAGGCCCAGTGTAAACATGATGGTTGTGTATCTGACAATACACAGATTTGAGGCCTACAACATAAAATGCGTGAATGTATAGCTGCTCCCATTGATTATATTTTAGGTGCAATGCTGACAATGGACAGGAGAGGGAGACACTGGCTCTCTCACAGTCATTATTTCTGTCACAGTAAAGACACATGAAAACATCTGCTGCTGTTTGTTGATTTGAAGAATTTAACCTTTTTTCATTCAACATCTATTTCAACAATATGATATAGTTAATATAAACTGATTTCAGTTACCACAGGAGTTTGGTGCAGGAAAAAGTTTAACAGAACAAAGTTTAATATGCAAGAGAGGGATACTCTGGGCAAACTAATTAAAACTAACTAGAAATACAAAAAATACACGAAAGTTAGGCCAGCTTGTGATACTACAGTGACTTCCTGTTTACATAGTTAACTGATTGGACAGCGTTATAGATGATTTCTTGCAATTAATTTACACATTCCTAAAGTCTTTACTCACTACAAATTTGCTGAAGTTTTAATGGGGCAAGATAATTTAGTAAATGATGACAGAAACTCGCAAGTAGTTCCTTATTAGTAACAAGTTACTAGTTACTTTATGTTCAAACTCAGCAATTTATTGATAGGATAGAATGTGCAACGCAATCTTGGTTCAGAAGTTTTTTGTATAACTGTTTTATTTTGGCTTCCTGTTTGCATTTCGTTTGCGTTCCTGTTTTTTTTTTTTTTCATATTTTTATTTTTAATTTTATTATTTACTATTCTGCCCAAAATGAAGACAATTTTATTTAAGTTTCACTCTCAGATAGGAAAGAAGGAGACAGCATCATTTAGAAAGAATGACATAAGCATTGGTATAGATATCATCCTCAGGTCATGAGGAAAATTTTGTGTTACATATTTTAAAATCTTAGAAATACATTACTATATACTATAATGTACAAATAAGCCATCAATCATTAATTATAACTACATGGAAATGTAGTTATTATTAATTTATTCTAAATGTACTTACTGAGTACTGTGTTTAATCATTGGTATTGTCAAGAGAGGCTACATCATGTGTAATGTTCAAGATTTCACATCATGTGGTGATGTGTGGATTTTACGTCATGTGTTTGCTTTGAAACACAGATGTTTTTCTTAACACCTCTGATTGGAACGATCCCCCTGAGATTAGAGTTTGCAGTCATCTGACATTAATACAACAAGGTGTGAAACTTTGATGAGAGTGAGTCATGAGAGAGCCATTAGCTTGCAGGTTGGATGTTTGTTTTGGAAAATTTGCTTGATCCAAATCCATGTATGTGTGTATGTGTGTGTGTGTGTGTGTGTGTGTGTGTGTGTGTGTGTGTGTGTGTGTGTGTGTGTGTGTGTGTGTGTGTGTGTGTGTGTGTGTGTGTGTGAAAGACAGAATAACATAGAATGGTGCGGATATTGTTAGTATAGCAACACCTTTGGTGGTAGCATAACAAGTCTGCTACTGTTATCTCTCTGGTGAGTGTGGTCAGTGCTTTCTTCATGAAACCTTTTTTCAAATTAAAAGACCCTTCTTTGCCTTAGCAGACCCTAAAGTCGAATCAGGACAGGTCATGTGTCAGCTGAGTTGATCCCATGAAAAGGCCCCGACTGACTGTTACTCCTTCTAATAGAAACAGCTGTTAGTGGCTGATACTAAGAACAGAGAAGGAGTGAATCTTTGGCTATGTACTGTTCTATGTTGTAAATAGTTACCTGGAAAAGTTACTTCACCAGTGGCTCAACTGGCAGAGCGCGTAGAGCGCGTACCACTTAGGCTCAGTCCTTACTGCAGCGGCCATGAGTTCGAGTCTGACCCATGGCCCTTTGCTGCATGTCATCCCCTCTCTCTCCCCAACTTTCCTGTCACTCTCTCACTGTCCCTATCTGAATAAAGGCAAAAAAATAACTGTGAAGCACTCTCAAATGTAATTACTGTTATCATATACTCATGTTCGAAGAAAACAATAAAAGAGCATACTATGATCTAATACAGAGACAAGGTCCAGAAGCTGTCAGAGTGATGTTCTACAAACAACCTACTGATCAACACAAGTAATGAAACCAATGAAATGGTCGTTGACTGCCGGAGGCACAGAGCGGGACAGTGGTTGCTCATTTAACTACCTGTTTTTTGATAAGATTGTGTTCCAAATAAATCGCTCTGGTTTCCCAGCTGCTCAGGAACTGCAGGGAAGCAGAGGAGAGCTTCCAATACACTGAGCCTCCATTACAGCAAATAAACTACTTTCACTACATGTATCCTTATTACTAAAGGAGACAGAGAGATGACTAAACATAAGACACACCAAGCAGAGAGAGCAGGAGAGGGGGCGGGAGAGAGAAATGCCATCGGTAACTGCTGAGCTAAAGAAACTAGCAGCTCTGAATAGCATCTAAACAACAAGATAAACCAGCAAGCGGAAATGAGATGATACACTTATTGCAGCAAAGCTATAAAAGCCCTGTTAAGACATAAAGGATTACGTCCCAGTTTGTATTAACACATAATGCAGTAACTTTAACACAGCAAAACGGGAGCAACTCAAAAAGAGGATTTGCACTGAAATACTGCTATGACCAATTCTACATATCGAACAGAGGGAGTTAGACATAAAGACATGTCTCTAATAAACATCTGTTACATTCTGGGGTTGAAGTTAATGCAGGCTAAACTATTGTGGGTCACAGACGGAGCCTGTTCTCTGTATAAAGCTGCTTACAGACAGAACGTGGCAACGGCACTGCTGCGCTCTGAAACCCATTGTTTCTAATGGCTTGCGCCACGATAGAACAGTTTGACGCTGTGCCGACCAATGCCGCCCAGCGAGCTAGTGCTTCAACTTGGTTGAACTTGGTTGAACTTGTTGAAATCTCTCCCTCCCCTTCTCCTGCTCTCCCTGCTTGGTGTGTCTTATGTGTAAAATTCAACTTGGTTGAACTTTGACCGCGGTGCGCTGTGACGATCATCCGCACAGTCAATTGAAACACAGTAATTGAAAAACGGCGCAAAACGAAAATATTATACGTAAAATGTTTATTACTTCAGAAAACTTATCAACCACGACTTCACCGGACAGTGCGCTGAACTGAGCGGCGAGTGCAGCGCAAGTCGTGTTCTGTCTGTAATCAGCATAAGAGATGAAATAAGAAAGATAGTCGGTCTCAGTCTTTAATCTATGTGTTTGGTGTTTTTGTCAGATGACTTTGCGGTTATAAAATCAGGATTTCAGCATAGGCGGTCCAGACATGTACTAGGGTTGACCTAATCTTCTTACTGTCAATTTGATGGAAAAATTATCAACAATTCTGAAGTGCAAAGAAGACTGAGGAAAATAGAAGGAAGGGAAAACATCATACCAGGAAATGTTGGAAGAAACAGGTGGGGAGAAAGGATGAAGATTGACTTTGAGGAAGATGAGCACAGAAAACAAGGTTCTTGTCTCTTCAGAAAGAAAAACAGCAGCGGAGGTGAGGCAATGGGAAGAGTTGGCAGGAAGGAAAGAGATAAATCAGATGTATGACAGAGACCTTTGGTCAAAGAGCTTCAGGAGCTCAGCAGCCTCCTCTCTCTGGTGATGGAAACCTTGGAGGGAACTGAACTCTGCTTTCCACAACTCTTCAACAACTCCTGCAGGAAGACAAAACGTCCTCACTTTGAGGCCATGCTGATTTATATTCTGTTGTCCTCCATCTCTCTGCTCACTGTGACTCTCAACCTGCTGGTCATCATCTCTATCTCCCACTTCAGGTGGACTACTTTCACTAAATTATAAAACTGGTAGATAGTAATGAAAAGTTAACAATCTGTGGTACACAAACAGTGATTGCCTGATTTCAAACTGTGAAAAAAAGAGTATTTTTTCCTAAATATTCTTTCTTGAATTTCAGTCTGCTTTTATCTGAATTATAATTGATATTATATATAAAATGGTGAATGTATTGCTGGTCTTTCTCTCCAGGAAACTCCACACCTCCACCAACCTTCTCCTTCTCTCTCTGGCTGTCTCAGATTTCTTTGTGGGCCTCCTCATGTTCTTTCAAATTACGGCCACTGACGACTGCTGGTTCCTCGGTGACCTCATGTGTGTTCTGTATCAGTATATAGCATATATTATTACCTCTGCCTCAGTAGGAAACATGGTGCTCATATCTATTGACCGCTATGTTGCCATTTGTGATCCTCTGCATTATTCTACCAAAGTAACTCAGAAAACAGTTCAAGTCTGTGTTTGTCTTTGTTGGACAGGTTCTATATCCCTTCAAAGTCTAAATCTGAAGGATAACCTGAAACAACCAGGCAGGTATAACTCCTGTTCTGGAGAGTGTATCCTTGGGATTAATTATATTGCTGGATTTGCTGATCTTATTTTGACCTTTATTGTTCCCATTACTGTTATTGTTGTTCTGTACATTAGAGTATTTGTGGTGGCTGTGTCTCAGGCTCGTGTCATGCGCTCCCAGATTGCAGCTGTCAGTCTTGTAACTGCTAAGAAATCTGAGATTAAAGCAGCCAGAGCTCTTGGTGTTGTTATATTTGTATTTCTAATATGTATTTTCCCATATGGTTGTGTTTCCCTGACAAGCCAAGATAACTTGCTGAATACTTCATCTGAAGCCTTTGTAATATGTCTGTTTTACCTGAACTCCTGTCTGAACCCTATCATCTACGCCTTTTTTTACCCATGGTTTAGAAAATCAGTTAAGCTCATAGTTATACTGAAGATACTGCAGCCAGACTCCTGTGACACCAGCATACTGTAGAGAGACACTGCATAGTGCCAGAAATGAAACCCTCACCATGAACAGAAAAATTTACTTTTTGATTGGTGATTTAAATTAGATAACACATGTAAAACTCTGGGTATAAAGAGTTTTGCATATTATTGTCATTCTTACATGCAAATCATCTCTTAACGTTGTGTCTGTTACATTATAATATTGTCTTTGAGAGACTAATTTTATTTGCAGTGCAATGATGAAGCTACTTACTGTTTTTTCATATTACCGTGGAGTTAGTATAATGTCAGGACTGTGACACGTTTGTGTTTGCTGTGTACTCATGCACAGTGGATTTGAACATAATATAGAGATTAATGTTTTATTAATGTATAATTTAAAGGTGTAGGGATTTATACCCTTTCTAATGGAGGATCTGTAGTCTTTGTCCCATGAACATCAGAAGACGCTTAGTATCTTCCTTAATGATGTCCTTTGTGAAAGAGTAAAAATGACTGTATGAGTACTATCAACTTTTCATTTTTTATCTACAAACCAAAATAACACTGTGTAGTGGGCCAAATGAGGTTGTGTTTGAAAAAGAGAGAATGATGTTAAAAAAACTGATGAGCAATAAATATTTTTAATAAATTAGAAATATGAGCAACATTAATCCCCAGTGTCCTTTTTATTTTCATTCGACCCGCTGGTGGACATAAAAAAAAATGCAGTACCCCCTGCCCAAGATCGAAATAAATATTTATGAATAACATATGGAAAACATGACAAAGATGTGAAAATAGAGCTACTCTCTAAGTTCAATAAAGAGTTGTTAAATAAAAGAAATAACATCAGAAGAATTTGAGAACCATAAAAAGGCTTTAAATAGGAAGACATTTAAATATGTCACAGTTATATTACTACGGACTGCTTCATTGCAAGTGTTCATCAGCAGCTTCTCAGGTTGCTTCCACAACAGGTTTCAATGATCCTTTAACCACAAACAATGAGCAGCCACCTCCACAACAAAGGTTTGGAACATAGCTCCCCCTGATTCCATGTCCTCAACCTTAGTCTGAAAAGGAGAGAATCCAACCCCTCTCCAGGAGTATGGTTCCAGTTCTAATGCTGTGAGTAGAGAGGAGTCCAGCTATATTGAGTTGATACCACTTTTGTGGTAGCATGGCCATGAGATCCTTGCTAGTTCTAGGAGGGTGCCCTTGTCTCCTTTTTCAGAGCAAAGGTACTACAGCTTCCTTGTTGCTGTTACAGTAAGGGACTTTGAATCAATCTATGCAAGATCTCAAGCAAGCACTGGGGCGGTTGGCTGCCAAAGTATGAAGCTGTCAGCAAAGAGTCCATGTTTCTCTGCCAGAATTCAATTATCCCCTTCGAGAAATGAGTGGAGTTCAAGTGTCTTGGGGTCTTTTTCTCAAGTGAGGGTAAAATGGAATGTGACATCAGGGGGCAGATCGATGTGGCATCACCGTTGAGGAAAAGAGGAAGCTGAGCCTGAATGCAAAGCTCTGAATTAAGCAGTTCTGTGCGTGCCAACGCTCACCTACGGTCACAAGCTTGACCATATCACAAATCAAAAGGTCTTCTAGTTGTTCTGAATGGCGACAGTCAAGGTCAAATGATATGCAGACCATCAAATAAAGGGGAAAATATGATACAAATTAAAGATGGAGATAACTGCAAACTTCATCATGTTGCACTTGGTTGTTCACATGAGGAAGTGCCATAGAATAACTGTGCAGAAAATCTAAAAAGAAATCCAAAGAGCTAAGTTCAAACTTCAAGTTCAAAGTTTAATGTACATATAAGTATGTAAATACCATCTTAAGATGTAATAAATACAATAATAAATTGTATGCCTAAGTTACTTGGCCTTGTACTAATGTGAACTGACTTGCTGAATACTTCATCTGAAACCTTTGTAATATGTCTGTTTTACCTGAACTCCTGTCTGAACCCTATCATCTACGCCTTTTTTTACCCATGGTTTAGAAAATTAAGTTAAGCTCATAGTTATACTGAAGATACTGTAGCCAGACTCCTGTGACGCCAACATACTGTAGAGAGACACTGAAATGAGACTGTTACTATGAACAGAAAAATGGACTTGTTGGTTGGTGATTTAAAGAAATCATACATGTAAAACTCTGGGTATAAAGAGTTTTGCATATTGTTGTCACTATTACATGCAAATCATCTCTTAACATTGTGTCTGTTGCACTACAATATTCTCTTAGAATGACTCCCATTTTATTTTAGCTGAAACAGTGAAGCTATTTAGGGTTTGTTCATATTACTGTGCAGTTAATGTCATGACTGTTTCACATTTTTGTTGTGTTTGCTAAAACATGATCCAGCTTTGCAGCTTTTCAAGGCCTTGAGTGCCACAATATCTTCACCCTACATTACACTACATCAATCAACCTAAAAATTGGTATGAATGAGATCCGATGATGTTTTAGCCCGATGTGCATGAGATGAGATATTTGGCTGTCAACCATAATCAAAGTAATAACATGAGTTGTGTGGCCAGGTGTGTTGACATTTTCTCCAGACAGGTAGTGCAGGGAGCTTACAAGATTAGGGTTGTTACCACAGAGCTGATTGAGAAAAATAGGTAGAGGCTACCTGCAATGTTTGTTGCCTCACTCAGGAGTCAGAATAATAAAAATAAATATGAATTACATCAAAATGTACTGTAGCCTGTATGAAATCGGATAGCTGAATTTCATGAACCAATTTCACACATTTCAGAATGACGGGGACGCAGAGAGAAAATTAAATAGGGTACAATTATAGTAAGAAGAAGTATTTAGTTAAGTGGAATCCAAAGTTCAAAGTTCAATTTACGTATAAGTATGGAAATACCATCTTAAAACAGACTTGACAAAATGTGGACCTATCCTTTAGTGTGATATATCAGAGTAATAAGCATAATTTCAACATAATAAATTGTATGCCTAAGTTCCTTGACCTTGTACTATTGGAGAAGGAGAAAAAAATGAAGGTTGAGTTTGAGGAAGATGAGCACAGAAAACAAGGTGCTTGTCTCTTTGGATAGAAAAACAGCAGCGGAGGTGAGGCAATAGGAGTAGACAGGAAGGAAAGAGATAAATCAGATGTATGACAGAGACCTTTGGTCAAAGAGCTACAGGAGCTCAGCAGCCTCCTCTCTCTGGTGATGGAAACCTTGGAGGGAACTGAACTCTGCTTTCCACAACTCTTCAACAACTCCTGCAGGAAGACAAAACGTCCTCACTTTGAGGCCATGCTGATTTATATTCTGGTGTCCTCCATTTCTCCGCTCACTGTGACTCTCAACCTGCTGGTCATCATCTCTATCTCCCACTTCAAGTAAACAAAATATTTCATTTATTTATAAAACTGGTAGATAGTAATACAATGTTAACAGTTTGTGCTACAGAAAATTGTGATTGCTTGAAACTGTGAGGAAAGGAGTATTTCTTTCCAAATGTTTTCTTTTAAAATTCAGTCTTTGCAGTCTCTGCTTTTTTCTGAATTATAATTCGTATTACATATATTGATAAATGTGTTGCTGGTCTTCCTCTACAGACAACTTCATACCTCCACCAACCTCCTCCTTCTCTCTCTGGCTGTCTCAGATTTCTTCGTGGGCCTCCACATGTTCTTTCAAATTACGGCCACTGACGACTGCTGGTTCCTCGGTGACCTCATGTGTGTTCTGTATCAGTATATAGCATATATTATTACCTCTGCCTCAGTAGGAAACATGGTGCTCATATCTATTGACCGCTATGTGGCTATTTGTGATCCTCTGCATTATTCTACCAAAGTAACTCAGAAAAGAGTTAAGATCTGTGTTTGTCTGTGTTGGACAGGTTCAATAGTCTTACAAAGTCTAAATCATAAAGATACCCTGAAACAACCAGGCAGGCATAACTCCTGTTCTGGAGAGTGTATCCTTGGCATTACCGACATTGCTGGACTTACAGATCTTATTTTGACTTTCATTGCTCCCATTACTGTTATTGTTGTTCTGTACATGAGAGTATTTGTGGTGGCTGTGTCTCAGGCTCGTGCCATGCGCTCCCAGGTTACAGCTGTCACTTTTGTAACTGCTAAGAAATCTGAGATTAAAGCAGCCAGGGCTCTTGGTGTTGTTGTTGTTGTGTTTCTAATATGTCTCTGTCCATATTATTGTGTTGCTCTTACTAGCCAAGATAACTTAATGAATACTTCATCTGCAACAATTGTAATAAGTTTGATTTATGTGAACTCCTGTCTAAACCCTATCATCTACGCCTTTTTTTACCCATGGTTTAGAAAATCAGTTAGGTTCATAGTTATACTGAAGATACTGCAGCCTGACTCCTGTGACGCCAACATACTGTAGAGAGACACTGAAATGAGAAAAGTGTACTTGTTGGTTGGTGATTTAAAGAAATAATACATGTAAAACTCTGGGTATAAATACATTTGCATATTGTTGTCACTATTACCTGCAAATCATCTCTCAACAGTGTGTCAGTTAGACTACAATATTCTCCCATTTTATTTTCAGTGAAACAGTGAAGCTATTCAGTTGACAGCTGTTGCAGGGAGCTTACAAGATTAGGGTTGTTACCACAGAGCTGATTGTGAAAAATAGGCAGAGGCCCTCTGCAATGTTTCTCACTCAGGAGTCAGAATAATAAAAATAAATATGAATTACATCAAAATGTACTGTAGCCTGTATGAGATCAGATACATGAATTTCATGAACCAATTTCACACATTACAGAATGTTGGGGACACAGAGAGAAAATTAAATAGGGTATAGAGTTATAGTAATAAGAAGTATTTATTTGATTATTCCTGATTTGTTATAACAAATGCTAGGTCAGTGTCTCTTAGTTCAATTGACAGTCAGAAACAAATTCAGATAAGCTCAAGTCAGCAACTGACCCCCCAAAAAAGCACAATTCTCAAGTAATCAATTACAAAGATACTTAAAGTAACACTGAGGTTTTTAATGACAAATTTCATTAAAGCATATCCCTCCCAGTATAGTGGAAATCCCACTGATCAGTTTGACACTAATGGTCAACCAAACATCTCCCAAACCATGGGGGTCACAATTTCAGCACCTTGGACAGCGTGCACAATGTTGTAAAAGCTCCACCTGTAGTGGAGTGGAAGTGGGAGGACACTCGGTCAAAATGCGGGCTGAACTACTAATAGTATTTCATCACAACTTCATCACAACTGAACTTTAATTGACATCAGCAGAGTTTTTAGTTCATTGCTGCTTTGTAATCCAGAGGCAGATTGATGGGACTGATCATTCTTGAAATTTCAAAGTATTTGAAATTAGCTCCTTCTTAACTTGACAGACTACTTCCTTGCAAGTGTTCACCAGCACGTTCTCAGGTTGCTGCCACAACAAGTTTCAATGATCCTCTTACCACAAACAATGAGCAGCCACCTCAAAATTTCAGGTTTTGAACATTACACTACTCTGATTCCAGGTACTACAAATGAAATGTTGCTGTTCCATTTTGGGGCTTTGAATCAATCGTTTCTGGTCCCTCACTTGGGACCAATTTGCCTTGGGAGGCCCTACCTCAGGCTGTTGCCAAAGATAGCACACCTGGAAGGGTCAAAGGGACACACAAAACCTTCCACCACAATAATGTCGTTATTCTCTGCTCCATTTAGGGTCTTTGCATCACTCTTTGTTTGGCCCCTCAATTGGGACCAAGTATGAAGCTGTCAAAAACAGAGTCAGCAGCTCTGAGTCTGAGGCCATTGTTCTCTGCCAGAAATCAGTTACCCCTCTTGGTATATGAGTGGAGGTCAACTGTGTTGGGGTCTCGTGGGGTAAAATGGAATGTGAGGTCGAAAGACAGATCCGTGTGGCATTAGCAGTAATGCAAGCACTGTACTAGACCGTCAAGGCAAGTCACTGTAGTCAATGTACATGCTAACTCAAACGTATGGTCACAAGCTTTGAATAACGACTGAAAGAATGACACCACAAATACTAGCTAAAATGAGTTTCCTCTGAATGTTGACTTTCTCTGTTCCACACAGCTAACCACTGCATGAAGTGGTACAAATATTACTGGTTTTGAAAAGTTACTGAAAGGTAAAGGTAAAGTTTAGGGGGAACTGAATTTTGCTTTCCACAACTGCTCAATGCCTCCTGCAGGAAGACAAAGCGTCCTCACTTTGAGGCCCAGTTGATTTATATTCTGTTCACCTCCATCTCTCTGCTCACTGTGACTCTCAACATACTGGTCATCATCTCTATCTCCCACTTCAGGTAGACAAATATTTCACTAAATTATAAAACTGGTAGATAGTAATGAAAAGTTAACAATCTGTGGTAAACAAACAGTGATTGCCTGATTTCAAACTGTGAAAAAAAGAGTATTTTTTCCTAAATATTCTTTCTTGAATTTCAGTCTGCTTTTATCTGAATTATAATTGATATTATATATAAAATGGTGAATATATTGCTGGTCTTTCTCTCCAGGAAACTCCATACCTCCACCAACCTCCTCCTTCTCTGGCCATGCTGATTTATATTCTGCTGTCCTCCATTTCTCTGCTCACTGTGACTCTCAACCTGCTGGTCATCATCTCTATCTCCCACTTCAAATAGACAAATCTTTCACTAATTTATAAAACTGATAGATAATAATGAAAAGTTAATAGTTCGTGCTACAGAAAGTAGTAATTGTCTGATCTCAAACTGTGAGATCAGGCATCAGGCAAATCAAAAATCTGTCCAAATAATGTTTTTTTTTATTATTATTTCAGTTTTTGCTCTTTGTGCTTTTTTCTGACCAATTATATTAATTTAAACGGTGAATGTGCCACTTTTCTTCCTCTCCAGGCAGCTCCACACCTCCACAAAAATCCTCCTTCTCTCTCTGTCTGTCTCAGATTTCTTCATGGGCTTCCTCATATTCTTTCCATTTATGCTCATCAATGGCTGCTGGTCCCTCAGTGACCTCATGTGTGATCTGTATCAGTATCTAGCATATATTATTACCTCTGCCTCAGTAGGAAACATGGTGCTCATATATCTGCTGATCGCCCTGTGGCCATTTGTGATCCTCTGCATTATTCTACCAAAGTCACTCAGAAAACAGTTCAAGTCTGTGTTTGTCTGCGTTGGACAGGTTCTATATCCCTTCAAAGTCTAAATCTGAAGGATAACCTTAAAGACCCAGGCAGGTATAACTCCAGCTTTGGTCCAGATTGTGTCATTGTCGTTTACTACATTGCTAGACTTGGTGATCTTATTTTGACCTTTATTGTTCCCATTACTGTTATCGTTGTTCTGTACATTAGAGTATTTGTGGTGGCTGTGTCTCAGGCTCGTGCCATGCGCTCTCACATTATAGCTGTCACACTCCAGCTTTCAGTGTAAGTAGCTGCTAAGAAACCTGAAATAAAAGCAGCCAGGACTCTTGGTGTTGTTATAGTTGTGTGTCTAATATGTGTCTGCCCATTTTTCTGTTTCACTCTTGTGGGGCAAGAAACCTTGCTCAATGCTTCGTCAGCTGTGTTTGTAATATGTTTGTTTTTTCTAAACTCCTGTCTGAACCCTATCACCTACGCCTTTTTCTATCCATGGTTTAGAAAATCAGTTAACCTCATAACCCTTGTTATATTTAACATACTGCAGCCAGACTCCTGTGAGGCCAACATTCTGTAGAGAGATACTGCTTTACTATGAACAGAAAAAATTACTTACTAAAGGAAGGAGGTGATGTAATATTGGACAGAAAAAATGGGAGTAATGGAGCAAGAGAGATGATGGGAGGAGACTTAAATCAACTGTATAATGGATAGTCGTCTCCAAAAAGCTGACAGAACTATGCAGCTTCTCTCCACCTCGCTATGATGATGGACACTGGAGCTGAACTCTGCTTTCCACAGCTCTTCAACAATTCCTGCAAGAAACCCACACCAGCTCAGTCTAATGCTATGTTTTTTTATATTGTGATCTCCTCCATCTCTCTGCTCACTGCAACTCTCAACCTGCTGGTCATCATCTCTATCTCCCACTTCAGGCAGATATACTCTCAGCATATGCTAATATATTTTCATGATGATACTTTATGTGAAGTAATGTCACTTAAGATAGATTTCAATTGTACGCCCTTTAATTTGTATATTTCAGTTAATTTTGTGTTTTAAAAATCCTAGCTGGAAAATATTATGTATTCAACAAAATGTAAAGCAGGCACTCCAGAAGTAATTAGCTTACGCTAATATATTTCCATAATAACAATTCATGTAAAGTACTGTCATTGAAGTGGAGCACTGATTTCAATTCTTTTAAATGAATTTTCTGGTTTTTGTTTTAAAATCCTAGCTTGAAAATATTACATATTCAACTAAATGTAAACAGAATTTATTGTTAAACATACGAAGCCTGTAACTGCTATTGAAGATAATCTTATGAGTGATTGTATTTTTCCTCCCCAGGCAGCTCCATAGCCCCACCAACCTCCTCATCCTCTCCCTGGCTGTCTCAGACCTCCTTGTGGGTGTCCTGCTGATGCCGGTTAAAATCTTTTTCACAGAGGCCTGCTGGTTCCTGGGTGAACTAATGTGTGCTCTGTATTATGTAGCAGTTTTCACCATCACCTCCTCTTCAGTTGGAAATATGGTGCTCATATCGATTGATCGCTATTTGGCTATTTGTGACCCTCTACGTTACACCACCAGAGTTACTCTGGGCAGAACAAGAATCTGTGTTTGTCTGTGTTGGATCTGCTCTGTTCTATATAACAGTCTAATTTTAAAAGACTTTCTGAGACAACCTTATTCACAGAATTCCTGCTATGGAGAGTGTATAGTTGTCCTTAGCTACATCACAGGAGCTGTTGACTTTGTTTTTACCTTTATTGGCCCCATTACTGTCATCATATTTCTGTATATGAGAGTATTTGCGCTTGCTGTGTCTCAAGCTCAAGCTGTGCGGTATCATATTACAGGTGTCACACTCCAGCATTCAGTGAGAGTAACTGCTAAGAAATCTGAGATAAAAGCAGCCAGGACTCTTGGTATTGTCATAGTTGCGTTTCTAATATGTTTCTGTCCATATTACTGTAACAGTCTCACAAGCCAGGTAATCTTGCTCAATGCTTCATCTGCAGCCTTTGTAATGTTTTGGTTTTATTTTAACTCCTGTGTGAACCCTATTATCTACGCCCTTTTCTATCCATGGTTTAGAAAATCAGTTAAACTCATTGTTACACTGAAGATACTGCAGCCTGACTCCTGTGAGGCCAACATGCTGGAGAGAGTCACTGCATGCTGCCTGAAATGAGACCCTCACCATGAACAGAAAAGTGTACTAGGTCATGTTGTTCAGTAATTAGTAACTAAGTA